AAAAGAAAAGAAAGGAAAGGAAAAGAAAAGAAAAGAAAAGAAAAGAAAAGAAAAGAAAAGAAAAGAAAAGAAAAGAAAAGAAAAAAGAAAAGAAGACATACCAGGCATGTGAACGTGTGCCCCCAGAATCCTGAAGAGTTGGCGGACTGCAGAGATGGGATCACAGTGTAACAAGACCTTGGGGCAGCCTCTCTCTCTCTCTCTCTCCTCTCTCTCTCTCTCTCTCTCTTGTGCACACACAGGCACAATGATAAATAAAATAAATATTTTTTTTCCAAAGGGGTGATTAAGGAAACCAGCAGATGGTGTAATGGTTACATCACTGGACTTCCACGTAGTTCATTGTGGTTTGAGTCCCGGACCTGGAGGCTTAAACTCAGGCAGGCACATGTGCGTGTGTGTCCAAGATCCTGAGAGGAGAATGGAGAAACCAGCCCTGCCCACATCCTGACTTTGGACTTCAACCTTCCAGAAATGTGAGAAGATAAATTCCTGTTGTCCAAGCCACCCAGTCTGTGGTACTGTGTTTCCCCAGCCCAAGCTGACCAGTTCAGTGGTCTCCGATGGAACAAAACGCAGCTCTGGGGCCAGGCGGTGGCCCAGCAGTAAGTAGCCCAACTGGACCCACATGGGGAAAGCCCTGGGGCTGCACTGGGACCTCCTGAAACACATCCAGTGTGCCTGGGCCTGTGATTCCGGCTAGCTGAGATTGGAGCAGATCATGGCATGAAAACCCTGCGGAGGGTGTCTCTCTCCCGCCTCTATGGAAGAAATAAACGCATTTTAAAAACAAATAAATCCAGGACTAGCACATGGCGTAGTGGTTGAGGTACTGGACTCCCACATGGTCGACTGTGGTTCGAGGCCAGGACCCAGCAGCTTGAAACTCACACTGGGTGCATGTGTGTCCAAAATTCTGAGAGGGGAATGGAGGAGGAGGGGTCGCATCAAGGCCATATCCCCTGGTGGGGAGGATGGGGGGTGACTTCTTGCTTTCTGGTTCTCTGTCTCTCTGGCAAGCACTTGTGCCCTATTGCAAAAATCTCTTTGTTAAATAAATAAATAAATAAATAAATACAACTTAGCTCTGATGATTCACTGACCACACATCACTGTGTCAAACATTAACCCATACTTTTGGTTCCATGTGATCACATTCAGCAGACAAAAAAAAAAAAGGGCTAAAATTTCTAAAGGAGAGCTGGTCCCATGGCCTGGTGGTAAGGGAGTTGGATATCACATGGCTGATTGTGGTTTGAGTCCTGGTCTCAGCAGCTTGAAAAATGCACTGGACTGGGACCAGCAGTGGTGTAGTGGTTAAGGCATTGGACTCCCACATGACTGACAGCGGTTCAAGTCCCAGATCCGGTGGCCTGAAAATCATGCCAGATGAATGTGTGTGCATGTCCAAGATCCCAGGAGGAGACTGGAGAAGGGATTACAGTATGGCCATCCTCCCGGGAGATGATTTCTCACTTTCCCTCTTGTGATCCCTCTCTGTCTCTCTCCACTAACTGCACACACCCTATGGCAAAAAACTTACAAAATAAAAATATGCGTGCACATTGTGAGCACGCAGGCCCCAATGCCAACAGGATGCGGGGGGGTGGGGGTTGCAGTGTTCTAACACCCCACTGGGGAGCGCTTTCTCCCTCTCCTTCTCTGTTTCTGTCTCTCCCTGGCAAGTGCATGTGCCCTCTGGCTTATAAATGAGCAAATAAAAAGCTGGAAGTGATCCCCTTAGGGGTCTGTGCTGGGTTAAGACTTCACTCTTACAGAAAACATCTCTGAACTCTCCTCCCACCGATCCTGGAGGTCTCTCCGACTGTAAGCTGTAGTTCAGAACGTGGCCTCTCGGAGTCCCCTGACCCTGATGTTTCTTTGAGAGGCAAATTCTTGCTGGGTTATTAATGGGCATAATTAACACCACTCTCCCTTGAAGGAGCCAACACCACGGGTGAGAATCGCGATGACTGAGCCGATCCGTACACCGAGCTCCCGGTTATGGCAACCCTTTCTCCAGTGGACCCCAGGAAGGAGCCTCGTAGCCCATGAAACTTACAGGAAGAGCTGGGATGAAGACCATGACATAAGTCTGGGTGAGCCTATGTAATAAAGAGAAAAGAAAACAATGGCAGAGGTCTCCACTTCAGGAGAACGCTAGGCACAATGAAATGAACCAACTGCCTTTTGTCTTGTTGGCCCATTGTGAATAAACGGGCTTAACTGCTGGAACCTCTGTGCAAACCTACCCACGCGGCCTGTTCTCTTACAGCCCTAAGCCCCTCTCTTGGTTCTTCCAGGTCTTTCCATCTAGGGTTTCTTGGCCTCGGCACTGTGACCAGAAAATCCTCCCTGGAGGGGAGCTGGTCTGAGGGTAGGATGTAACACAGCCTCCTTGGCACGCCCTGGTCCTTAGTCTGTGCGATTCCCAGGGCTGAGCCTGGGCGGGGCGAGCCCCTCTCACCTGGCCACGGCGGGGTCCTGGCGGAGCAGCAGCAGCAGGTGCTGGGTGTTGAGGAAGAGCGCCCAGCAGGGGAAGCAGCAGAGCAGCAGCACCAGCGCGCCCCGCTGCAGGATCACGCCCACGTGCTTCAGGTTCCGGCTCCCGTAGGTCTAGGAACACACGGCCGACACACGTCAGCGCAGAAGCAGCAGTCCACACCCCCAAGGCCTTCTGAGCCAGCAGGTGGCGTGGACGTTAAAGCACTGGACTTCCACATGGTGGCCCGCAGTTCGAGCCTCGGCTTGAGAAGCATCCTGGGCCCATGTGCCTGCATGCCCAGAATCCCAAGAAGAGAATGGAGAGAAGAGACTGCAGTGTGGCCATCTCCCCTGGGGGGCGACTTCCCACTTTCTCTCTCTCTAGCAAGTGTATGTGCCCTATGGCAAAGAGCTTAAAAAAATAAAGATGGGACCAGCAGTTGGCATAATGGCTGTGTTGCAGAACTCCCACGTAGTCGACCGCGGTTCGACTCCTGGACCTGGTGGCTGGAGCTCACGCCAGGCGTGTGTGTGCGTGCCCAAGATCCCGAGAGGAGAATGGAGGAGAAGGGATTGCGGCATGGCCATCCCCCTTGGGAAGTGATTTCTCACTTTCTGTCTCTCTGTCTCTCTCTTTCTGGTGAGAGCACACACCCTATAGCAAAAACCTCTCAAGAGAAAAAAAGAAAGAAAGAAAGACATGCCTACAGCAACTTCACCATACTTCACGGCAAAAGGGAGGGCTCCCCATTTTGGCCGCCTACCGGAATTACCTGGAAACATTTTTAAACTCTGATGCCAGAATTCCACTAAGATAGTCCAGAGTTAATTGTTCCACGGTGGTACCTAGGTAGCTATAGTAGTTGGGCTCAGCCTCAGTGGCACACAAGTGCTGATAGGGCTACCACTTGGGAGGCTGGAAGGCCCACGGGAGGCCCAGGCTCGGTTCCCGGGCCAACCTGAACACACTGGGTGCAGTGGCACACACCGTAATCCTGGCTAGTTGGGAGCGTGGGGCAGGAGGGTCATGGCAGGAGGATTATGTCACAGTGAGACTCTTTCTCATAAAGGAAAGAAAAAACAAAGAAAAGAAAAACAAGGTAAAGTTCCCCCTGTGGTTCTAATGTGCAATCAGGGTTGCAGAAACTGGAAACGTGTTAGAAATGCAAATCCTTGGGCCCCACTCCAAACCCGCTAGAGCAGTATCCTGGGGGTGGGGTCAGGGTGTGGTGGAGCAGGCTCACTGCCTCACGAAAGCCAAACCGCGCCCAGCCCTCCGAGCTTCGCGCTCAGTAACATATTTTTGGTAGCTTGAAATTAGCCGTAGGAGGAAGGGTACTTACACCACTGGAATTGGCAGCCGCTACAAGTCCTCCTTCCTGGCTCCCAGACCTAGTTACTGAACACTGACCAGGATGCCACTGGGTAGGACCCAGCAGCCTGTATGAATAAGACCCCCCAAGTGAGCCTGACGCATGCTCAAGTTTAGGGGCCACGGGGCTATCCCAAACTCAGACGGGTAAGAGCAGGGACTTCTACCCAATGTCCTGGACTGGGCTGCGCAAAGAACTACGAGGGCTGACGCGTGCCCGCGCCCCTGTGGCTGCAGGTCTCCTCATCTGTGCACTACGTCTCTCCGTCTTCTGAGTGAGGCTCCTCTACTGACACCGGAGCGATAGCCAGGGTCGTCCTGAGGGTGCGACCGCTTCCATTTACCTGGGAGATGAGGGTGTCGCAGGCAGAAGACAAGCCGAATCCCACGGAGATGCCAGTGACGTTGATCACCTGGAAATACACCCACAGGTGAGGCCACGAAGAGGTAACAGAGGAAAGGAAATTCCCCACAGGTCAGAGCCTGCAAAGTGTCTCCTTCTGCATTAACAAGTGCAATTAATCAGTGGGTCAGTGTCTCCAGGCACCTGCTCCGATCGGCTGGGCCATCATGAAGGCCACGCACCTGCTCAGAGGCCGATGACCCGGGCCACCACTACGATCCAGCGTTTTTCTCTTCAAGCCTCAGTCGTGCTGCGCTCCAATTTCAGGGGGTCAGAGCACTTCCGAGGATACCTCACGGCCCAGCAGCGTGTCCTGTAAACCCACTGGGATCCCAGGGCTGGGGTGCACACGCCAGTCTGAAGTCAAGGCCAGTGCCAGGGGCTTTTCCAGTGGACCACCAGGATCAGATACAAAACTCTGGTGTCCCTGGGGCTTCGCGGGGCCCAGGACAGCACCCCAGACCAGGGTGTGGCACTGCAGGATGTCCCATGCTCCCTCACTCTGGAACCTCCGCCTGGATCTACAGCAGCCCACAATGGGCCTGGCCCAAAAGCAGGGTTTCGGACGCTTGAACTAGAGAACATGCCTGGGGCTCGCTAAGCACAGTTCTGTTTGCCCTAAATCTCTTAATACTTACAAACAAAAAGATTCATTCAGCCTGGGGCTGTCCATGTAGCCCCCATCTCTAGAAGGGTCCAGTGCATTCCAGTCGGTTCTGCCAACCCCGTCAGAATCTGAGCTTTACCCAGTTGGCTCTTCCAAACTCTCTGACGTCTGCCCATGCCCCGTCTCTAAGCCACTCTCACGTTTTCAGGTTTCATTATTAACAAGCCCTTCCCGCCACACTTGTTCCGTCAGGCCCTGCTCTGTCGCATGATAACTAAATACCGAGAACTGGGTCGCTTACGGAGAGCAGAGGTTTATATAGCTCAAGGGTTTGGAGGTCCCAGGTCAAGGGGCCACATCTGGTGAAGGGCACAGAACACCATATATGCTTTAAAAAAGAAAAAAGAACAATTGCCAGAGGGCAGGCACATGCACTCACTGGAGAGAGAGACAGAGAAAGAGAGAGAGAGAGA